CCCGTGTTCTCCTCTGCCTTGGTCTTTTATACCGGCTGCCATCAGAAGGTAACACCCACATTTAGGGTGTATCTTCCGGCTTAGATGATCCAATCAAGAAGATCTCTTTCATTTCAGTTAATCTCAGATCAAATCAAGTTGACACCAGGATTAGCCATCACAGTCACTTTGTCTCACCCCCTATAAAGTACAGAATATTACTAAAGTGCCCCTACAACTCACGCACTGTATTCACGGCCACTGGAATCAAGTTTCTTAATTACTCTATATTACTAACTAATCAAATTATTTCTGTAAATTATACCTGCGCCCCCATGCTGGACAATTCAGGGTTCTTAGAAAAAATCTGGTCTAATATAAAAGCACTGTTTGACCCGTCTTGGATTGTCACTTACCTACTCCTGACAGGCATAATTATTCTTCTCTTTCTACTTCTTAAATGCCTTGTTCTTCATTCCTGCAGTCAGAAAAAATTCAATCACTCAGTGTATCAGACCCTCAGAGCAATACACGAAGATGATTTCAACCCGCCCTATGCAGCCTGACAGACTTGGCTTGCACAAATGTACAAGGCCTCCTACAGATAATTCCCCACCTCATCTGATCCCCGGGACAATACCCCTTAGAGGGCTGGTAGTCAATGACGGGTAAGATCCTGTTGGACTGAATCAACCTAAGCCTGGACATGGATGTGTGCGCCCATGCTCCAATGACAGGTAAGGTTCATGCCCGAATAGGACAATCTAAGACAGGCACAGTCCATGATTCTGGGGTTATCCTGAGGCAGAGCTGCCTACAGGCTCTCGCTGGACAGTCATTTTTAAAGAAAAAGGGTGGAAATGTAGCAGGAGGCCTCCAAAGATAGTGCGGACCCAGAGCCCTGGGACTCAGCGAGAATTCACTTCACTTCTTGGTCCACAAATAGCCCACCAAAAGGAGCCTACACCTCTGTACCCTGCTTGGGAGTCCAGTGACTACTGACAGACTGCGTGGCGTGGACCAATCAGAAAATGATACACTGACTAAAGGGACTTGGGGGCAGAGAAAAGGGAAATATAAGGCCTACCCCCTCCTGCATTAAACGAGCCTGCAGCACCTTGCCTAGTGCTTGCTTCTACCCGACTCCTGGGGTCTGTGTGTCGTGACTCCGCGCCTCTTGGCCCCCCAATCGGCAGGGGACCCGATCCAGGTTAGGGTCTTCACAGCTGGCCTGAGGAGAACCCGCAACAGTTCTGTAATGTAATTTTAATGTTAATGGCATCTACTGTTATGCTTAATACTGCAAGTGAGTATAATGTGAAGTTCTGAAATGCTTTTATATGTCCATTTTAAGTTTGCATTTGGGTTATTTGGATGTGATCCTTTTTGCTTGCAAGTTTATGTGAAAGTATAGACATGTCTTAGAGATTATACTAAGTAGAATTTGTTTTATTAGATTTAATTGAGTGCGTGTGTGTGCGTGCATTTGTGTGTGTGTGTGTGTGTATGTGTGTGTGTGTGTGTGTGTGTGTGTGTGTGTGTACATGCCACTTGTGTGGAGGTCAGAGGACAACTTCCCAGAATCAGTTCTCTTCTACCATGTGGGTCTCAAGGATTGAAGTGAGGTTGTCAGGCTTGGTGGCAGGTTCATTCATCCACTGAGCCATCTCGCCATCCCATAGGCTTTTACTGTGAATACTGTGGCCTGGGGAGATGGCTCAACAGTTAAGAGCTCATACTGCTCTTGCAGAGGACTCAAATTTGGTTCCCCGCACCCGTGTCAGGCAGTAACTCCAGTTTTGTAACTCCAGTTCCAGGGGGATCTGATGCTTCTGGCCTCTGAGGGCATCTTTACTTGTACACACACACACACACACACACACACACACAAACACACACAGAATTAAAAATAATAAAAACAAGTTGGGCATGGTGGCGCCAGCACTCGAGAGGCAAAGGCAGGTAGATCTCTATGAGATTGAGGCCAGCCTGGTCTTCATAGTGAGTGCCAGGACAGAGAGGGCTACAGGGAGACCTTATCTCAAAAGAAAATAATAATAATAATAATAATAATAATAATAATAATATGGCTGGGTATGGTGGCACACACCTTTAATCCCAGCACTTTAATTCCAGACAGAGGCAAAGCACATCTCTGAGTTTGAGACCAGCCTGGTCTACAGAGCAAGTTCCAGGCCAGCCAGGGCTACAAAGTGAGACCCTGTCTCAAAAAACAAAACAAAACCAAAACAAGTAAATAATAACAAAAAATGAATATTTTAAAAATAAACTATGGGAACTACAGAGATGTTTCAGTGGTTAAGGGCACTGGCTGCTCTTCCAGAGGGCTCAAATTCAGTTCCCGGCACCCACATAATAGCTAACAACCATTTGTAACTCGCTTCAGGGGATCTGAACCCTCTTCTGACCTTGGGCTTTGCATGCAGAGGTACACTTACGTACATGCAGGCAAAACACTCATACACATAAAAATAAATCAAGAAAAATCGGTGAATAATCACAATACCTTCAGATTCACCTTCCTGAATTTCATGCTTTTTTTCCAAAGCATAACGTAATGCACTGGGAACATCCCTTGCTTTAGTGAGAATCGAAGCAAATGAATTGCCTCACACCTGAAGATTAGGAAAACAAGAAGAGTGTTTTGAGTTAAATAGTTAAGTTTTTGAAAATATACTTTAATTTTTATTTTATGTGTATGAATGTATTATTTGCCTGTATGTAAGTGCACATGTGTCATGCAATGCCCATTGAGGTCAGAAGAGGGTGTTGGATCCCTGGAGCTGGAGTTAGGGATGGTTGATAGCCAACATGTGGGTGCTGGGAACTGAAGCCAGATCCTCTGCAAGAGCAGCCAGTACTCTTAACCACTGAGCCATCTCTCCAGCCCCAGTTAAATAGTTATTTTTAAAAAATGTTTTATTTATTATTCTTATTTTATGTGTATGAATGTTTTGCCTGCACATATGTAAGTGCACACATGTCATGCAATGCCTGGGGAAGTCAGAAGAGGTAATCGGATCCCCTGGAATTGGAGTTGCAGATGGTTGTTAGCTGCCGTGTGGGTGCTGGGAACTGAACCCATGTCCTCTGGAAGAGCCAGTGCTCTTAACCACTGAGCCATCTCTCTAGCTCCTTGAGTTATAGTTCTTTTCAGAGGCAGTAGCAGCTACAGGACAGAGAGGTGTGCTATGAGGCTCATCCAGCAGCAAATCAGTCTTCAAATCTCCATGTGCCCTGAGCTTCCAACAGTCAGGAGGGTGAGGCAAGAGAATTCCTAAGTTCAAGGCCAACCTGGTTTACATATGGAGTACTGGGACACTCAGGGTTACATAGTGAGATCCTCCCTCAAAACAAACAAACCAACAAACCCAAGTATCACCAACATCAAGTTCGGGCTGGGTACACGTACCTACAACTACAAATGCACATACAGCCTATTTTTTTTTAAATTTTATTTATTATTTTTATTTTATGTGTATGCGTGTATTGACTGCATGTATGTAAGTGCACCCATGTCATGCAATGCCTGCAGAGGACAGAAGAGATTGTCGGATCCCTTGGAACTAGAGTTATGGACAGTTGTTAGCTGCCATGTGGGTGCTGGGTTTTGAACCCGGGTCTTCTGCAAGAATAGTCAGTGTTCTTAACAGCTGAGCCATCTCTCCAGGCCCCTTTTGGTTTTGTTTTTAAAGTGTATATGTGTATGTGTGGATGTGTAAGTCTGCCTGTGAAGACCGGAAAAGGGTGTTGGATCCCCTGGAACTGGAATTACAGGTGGTTTTTAGCCACCTGATGTAGGTGCTAGGATCCAAACCCAGGTCCTCTGGAAGAGCAGTAAGTGTTCCTAGCTGCTGAGCCATGTCTCCAACCCTTACAAGCTAGATTGAAGATAGAATGCAGTACACCATGATTTGCCTCATGAGTTGTCCAAAGGGAAAATGAAACCAGAGAACTGAAAGGAAAGGGAGGGAAGGAAAGACCAGTGCGGCTTCTGAATTTATATGTGCTCTACACTTAAGTTAGATTTGCTATTCCTGTGCACACTTTTCTCTATGGAGCATAAAACTGCATAAATCTAAGGAGAAGCTCAAAGTTACTGTATCCTCATATATAGCTCCCAGACTGTAGAAGAAATCAGCGAGGAAAACACCTCTAATAACATCTATATTCTGTAATCCCAGCTATTTGGGAGGCAGAAGCAAATTCTAGGCCAGCATGGACAATTTAGGGAGACATTATCTCAAGAAAAAAGTTAAAGGGGTCTGCCAAGGGCAGAGGATGTAGCTCAGGTGGTAGAGTGTTTGCCTGGAATGCATGGTGCTCTGAATTCTAACTCCAGCATATACCAGGTATGCTAGCACATGCCTGCATTTCCAGCACTCGAGGTGGAGGCAGGAGGATCAAGAGTCCAAGGTCTTCTTAGCTACACAGAGATCTCTGTGAGTTCAAGGCCAGTCTCAGGAAAAAAAAAGGGTTTGGTGAGGGTGGTGCTGACCCCGGATATGGTGGCCCATGCTTTTAATCCCAGCACTCGGGGGGCAGAGACAAGCAGATCTCTGAGTCTGAGGCCGGTCTGGTCTACATAGTTCCAGGCCAGCTGGTGCTACACAGTGAGATTCTGTCTCAAAAAATAAAAATAAAAAATAAGGAAGGGAAGGCTGAAGGCTGACAATATAGCTCAGTGACAGAACACTTGCCTAGCATGTGTGAGGCCTATGTTCCATCCAGCACTACAAAAGAAATGAGCAACCCAGAATCCTTAAGTTCTTACTTATTAGTAGACTCGGATGAATTCTCTTTGGAGCAGCCGCTGTCCAGTTTAGGTAAAGAAGGACAAGTGTCTTTTTCCAAAAGCCATCACTGGAATCAATGACAGAATTCCTACCTAGAACCCCCACAAGTCTAATTCTGATGAAACTTCTACCTTTGATGTAACAATTGTTAACACCACAGCAACCCTTAGCAGCTATGATTATGGAGCTCGGAGCTATTTTTAATGTGTGTGGGGTGTTTTTTTTTTTTGTTGTTGTTGTTTGTTTCGTTTTTCAGTCTTTTTGAGATAGGGTTTCTCTTGTAGCCCCAGCTGGCCTGGAACTTGCTACGTAGACCAGGCTGGCCTTGAACTCACAGAGATCCACATGCCTCTGCTTCCCAAGTGCTGGGACTAAAGGTGTGTGCCACCACACCCAGCTCAATATGTTTTATCTCCCTTGTGAAAAACATTAACAACTAATAAAAATGAGGATACTTCCAGACACTGCAATTTCAACACAAACATTAGAAAATGGGAAGCAGGGGCTGGGGATGTGGCCCAGTTGGTAGTGCTTGTTTAGCATGCACAAAGCCCTGGGTTTGATCCTTAACACTGTACAAGCCGAATGTGGTGGAGCATCCCTGTAATCCCAGCACTAGGGAGGTAGAGGGAGGAGGATAAGATGTTCAAGGTCATCCTTGGCTACTTAGGGAGTCTGAGTCTAGCCTGGGCTACGAGAGCCCTGATCTCAAAGCAATAAAAACAAAACCATACTGAAGCATTGGTTTCTGTGGGATGCAATACAAATTAGAAATGTGTGATCTAAGATTAATTTTTATTTTATGCGTATGAGTGTTTTGCCTGTGTATATGTATATGCACCTAATGCATGTCTGCTTGAGACCAGGAGAGGGTGTCAGATCCCCTGAAAGTAGAGTTAAAGAGAGTTGTAAGAAGCCATGTGAACACTAGGAACTGAACCTGGGTCCTCTGCAAGAGCAGCCAGTACTCTTAACCACTGAGACATCTCCTCTAGCCCCCACCCCACCCCGTCCATCCCTCCCCAATCCCCTCTCTCTGTTGTCAGGGACTCTCTCTGTACCCTATGCCGGCCTTGAACTCTTGGCAATTCTTCTGCCTCAGCCGTGTTGGGGTTATAGGTATGAGCTACACCAGTTCTTCAGATGGTAAATATTCAAACGACTGGGGAAGATGTGCCACCCACCTTCTTCCTTTACATTTTTACTTATTTGTTTAGTGTATGGGGGCACACATGTGCTACGGTATGCATGTAGAGGTCAGAAGACAAATCTTAGGGAGATTCTCTCCTTCCACCATGTGGGTCCCAGGTGGCAGGCACCTTTACCAGAGCCATCTCACCAGCCCAGGGAGCAATCTTAATGAAGTGGCTTCAGTCATTACTGCCCTGTAAAAACCGTAACTTGGAGTAGAAAAAGGAGTAATATTTATATGAACGTGGAATTTGTACGTTTTGGAACATAATGTTTTTAAAAACCATGTCTTATAGGGTTGAAGGTATAGGAAAGCAGGCTAGTGCTCAAAAATATGTCTTTCATTGGCTATAGCAACTGTATGAAAGAGTTTTGAGATTTTAAAGGATGGAAGTGTAGCCAAGTAGACAGAGCACATACTAGAATACAAGATGCCCTGGGTTCAAGGAGGTGAAGTCCCTTGAAGCTCAGTAAGGACTATGAAAGGTCCAATAAAAAGCAGCCAGTAATTAGTTTGTTAGGTTTCGAGAAAAGAGCAGGACCACTAGAGACTACCCTGAGGTGAGAAATTTATTGAAGCTTCCACGGGAGAAAGGAAGCAGTGGTTTTCCATCACAGCAGGCTGGATTTTATAGGATTTTTCTTTTGTGGGTAGGGGGAGGTAAGCTCAGTAAGGACTATGAAAGGTCCAATAAAAAGCAGCCAGTAATTAGTTTGTTAGGTTTCGAGAAAAGAGCAGGACCACTAGAGACTACCCTGAGGTGAGAAATTTATTGAAGCTTCCACGGGAGAAAGGAAGCAGTGGTTTTCCATCACAGCAGGCTGGATTTTATAGGATTTTTCTTTTGTGGGTAGGGGGAGGTGAGACTGTAGCAGGTGCCTGAGTCCGTAGCAGGTGCCTTGGTGGGGAGGGTCTTCAGTTAGGTGTTTTTCAGTTTTTTGGTTGGCTGCGATGGAAGATTGCTGTTATGATCGGGGTGCATTGTTAAAACAAAGGTCAGATGGCTACCAAGAAACTAGGATGGTCTAGTTTCTACATATTTTTAAGAGACTACTGGAGCCAGGTGTGGTAGCATGGCACACGCCTTTAATTCCAGCACTTGGGAGGCAGGGGCAGGCAGATCTCTGTGGGCTCAAGGCCAGCCTGGTCTACATAGCAAGATGCCAGCTGGGGCTACAGGGAGAACCTGTCTCAAAAAGACAATAAAATA